CCTAAATAACTAGGATTACAGGCTTGTACCACTATACCTGGCCTTGTCAGGTTTTTATCTGTACCGTTTGCATAGGTATTTAGTGGTATCTAATCATGGTTTTAATTTTCATATCCCTAATGAGTGATGATTTCGAGCATCTTTTCATGTTGCGCCATTTCAAGATTTGTCTGCTTATCGCTTAAAAGCCAATAGGTTTATTCAAGGGCCAGCACCCTAAGAAGATGGGTGGGGAAGTGGTGTCGTCTCCAAGAAAAAATAGTATCTCGGGGATCTCAGGTGCATGAAAGGGCTTTTATGGTGAGGGAAGGGAGGCTATGTGCTGAGTAGAGGTCTTTGTCATGCAGGGCATGGGTCTCTTTCTCTGGCCAGAACTTTGCAATGGACCTCAACTTTCTGCAGGTAGTTCCTATAATTCTTTAGACAAATGTTACCTTGCTACAAGTTAAACTTCATCTTACATTTTCTGATTTACTCTGAACTTTACCAGATGTTCTGGGTTCCTTAAATCTAAAGATCATTTAGCAGTTAACATCTTAATCATTTAGGTGCAGCTTTTCTTTAGAATTTAGAATGCTAAGCAAAGGGAGGGAAAGTAAAGGACAACTCACAAGCTGCCGCTCTTGGAATGTGTTTGTCATCTGTATTTCTTTTTTGGTGAAGTATTTATTCAGATCTTGTGCTGATACTCAAACCCAGAGCCTTGCACATGGTAGGCAAACACTTCGTTGTGGAACTGTGGAGCTACATCCCCACCCTTTGCCCATTTTTAAAATTGGCTTTTCTGCCAGGCGTGGTGGTGCACACCTATAATCCCAGCACTCAGGAGGCTGAGGCAGGAGGATCATTGCAAGTTTGAGAGCAACCTGAGCTACAAAGTGAGCTCCATGCCAGCCTGAACTGCATAGGGAGACCCTGTCTCAAAAAGCCAAAAAAAACAAAGGCTTTTCTTATTTATGTACTGTGGTTAATCCCTTATCAGATGAGTAATTTACAAATATTTCTTCCCAATCTGTATCTCTCTGATGCTTTTTTTCCTTTCATTTTCCTAACAGCATCTTTTGAAGAGAAGTTTTCCTTTTAGATGAAGTCTACTTTATCAATTTTTAAATGTGCTCTTTCTAAGTAGTCTTTACCTAACTAACCCAAAGTCAGAAGTATTTTCTCCTAGAAATGTTATAGTTTTAGGCTTTACTTTTAAGTCTGTGATCTACTGTGAGGTCATTTTTCTTTTTTTATTGTTTGTTTGTTTGTTTTTCCGGTACTGAGAATCGAACTCACTACCTTATGCTTGCCAGGCAGGCACTGTGCCGTTGAGCTAAACCCCAGCCCCTGTGAGGTCATTTTTCATACATGGTCCAAGAGCTGGATTGGGGTTCTTTTTCTCCCCCTCCCCCCGAAATGATGTCCAGTGATCTGCATTTTTTGTGTTGTTTTGTTGTTGTTTTTGAGACAGGGTCTCACCATGCAGCTCAGGCTGGCCTTGAGCTCACTTTGTAGCTCAGGCTGGTCTCGAACTCGCAATGATCCTCCTGTCCCAGCCTCCTGAGTGCTGGAATCACAGGCATGCACCACCACGCCCGGCAGTCTGTATTTTAATAAAGCAAGGAGGAGGGCTGTGTGCAAAGCAGATCATGATGGGGGTGGGTGCTGCCAGGGAGCGTTGAACAAATCCCAGGAAGCCCTAAGAAGAGAGCTTTTAATGTGGAGGAGGCAGGGTCTCCTAGGTTAGGCCTTAAAAGCTGACAGCTGAGAAGGTGGAGAAGGAAGATACAGGGAAAACAGAGGCAAGGCAGGTATCAGTGTGAGGGTGACTCAGTGCTGCCTTCAAGCCAGAACCTTGAGTGTGTGGAGGAGCAGGGTTAGAGGAAAGGGAAGAGCAAGGTAGTTTGGGCAGAGAACAGTGCTTCAGGAGCATCAGTCTGCAGACCAGAATGGAGGGTGGATGGAAGGCAAGGAGCCAAGTGAGGTTGTAGACTGCGCGGGGGTCAGGGATGAGGCCTGCGCTCCACTGGTAGCTGTAGGGATAGATTTGAAGAAGAGTCAAGACAAGAGTCCCAGCTGCCTCCTGGGTCTTGGGCTTAGGCATTTGAGTGTCCCTCGGCCAGGGGTAGAAGAATTCTGTTAGGCTCAGGGAGCTGGGACATCCAGGGGGAGATGGCCAGGGAGGAGCTGAGTGCACATGGGAGCGCTGTCGCCATGGTGTTCATTCATCACCACCTCACTCGTGAAGCTCCTCAGATGCCCAGAGCTGCCAGTTCCTGTACCCGTGTCATGTCACTGTGCCTTTCATGGCGGCCTGTGGGTGTGTGATGGTAGACACTGGGCCGGTAACCAGAATACACGGCCTTGGAGGACAGCGTTCTGTGACTCAGCAGGTGTGAAGTGAGTACCACAGAGAGTACACTGGGCTGGGGACAGGATGCCTGCCTTCTAGCCAGCCTGCCTCTACTGACCACGGCCTGCTGCGCTCCCCAGACCAATGACCCGCACCGTGGTGTCATGACAGGCTGGAAAGCAGGTGCCCCGCTGCTTTTGCAGACAGTGAGACTCTGGGCAGTAAGGGCAGGGTCCCCAGGAACGCCTGTGGGCAGTTGGCTGCCTGTGCCACAGCGTCCCCAGCCCGGCGGCACTAACTTGTAAGGAGACACGGGTCTGCAGCCTACAGAACTCTCAGGAAAGGCAGCCCAACCTCTCTGATTCATGAGCTCAGTCCTTCTGTGGAGCTAAGTCATTTCACAAAGCCTGGGCCTGAAATCCAGTGTGGGTTGGGTTCTTTTTTTGTTGTTTTCTTTTAGGGGGGCGGAGGATTTGACTTTTTTTTCAAGGACAGAAACTAAAAACTAGAATATAGAAATTATGATCTAAAAAGAAGAGAAAGTGGGAGAACACAAGTTCTAGGAGAAGGGAAATAGGGAGGAAAAAGAAAATTCTGGAATGAGTCAGGGTTGACCCTCCCCTAATTCCAGCTTCTGCCTGATTCAGCTCTGAGCCCCCAACCCCGCTCCCCAGCTGCTGCTTCCGAAAGCCACCCCAGCAGCCACGCCTTTCACACCCCCACCCCCACACACTGTCTCGCAGCCCATCTGTTCCAGGCATCTGCTGACAGTTTTGTAACTTCATCATGGTTTATCTTCAGACTCCAGATGGTTAATGCCTTGTCGCAATATTAAAGTGCCCCATTAGACTGGGAAGGAATCACAAGGGTTCCCCTCTCCCCACAGGCAGTTGGGCAAAACAGCTGAGCATCTCCCACACCTCACATGGCCCCCGTTCTCTGGAGAAAGGGAGTCACAGTGCAGTCGTCCTTTTCAGAAGGCAGACACGTGAGAAGTGCTGGCCGCCTCTGCTGGCTAACTTTGGAGGTTTCCCCATCAGGACAGTAAGTGTGCCTAGCAGGATGTTCTGTGTGCCAGAATTCATTTCCCGCCTCTTGCCCTGGAACTGGGTACATCTGTCTTGCCACGGAGCCGTCACTGTCTCTTGACCGCTGCAGAGCTACTCTGGGCTCTTCGGAGCGTGGCACTGAGCTCAGTGCTCCGGGTGCTCTCACCTCAGTTGCCAGGGTAGGATTGCTGAATCCATGCTACAGATTGGCTACGCGAAAGATACCCTGTTGGAAGCTGAGAGGGTACAGCTCCTTCTTTCTAGAGGCTTAAAGAGTGGTTAAAATCTAAGACTTCAGGCTGGAGGAGACTCACCAGCCCTGGACGCTAACCGTTGTGAGATGGGGGAGAGGGACCTTGTTAAAGCGGGTAGAGAACTCTCTGAAACGGTGCTCTGGGCAGAGTCCCACATCACCACTCACCCTGCAGTCAGTTTCAGAGAATGCTGGGAAAACAGATCATGCTAGGAAAGGACGGGCCGCCCAGCAGGAGCCAAGAGCGTCTTCATAGCTAGGCGAGTTGGCATAGGAGGAGGGGAGTCCATAAAGGATAGTCATTTGGATGCCAGAAGGCCAAAGTATGGGTCTAATAGATAGGTGGAAATAACGCCAATCACAGCTACTCATTGCAAATTTTTTGCAAGAAAAAAATAATTCAGAGCTAGGGATGTAGCTCAGTGAGAGAACATTCACCTTGTATGCGTGAAGCCCTGGATTAGATCCTCAGAACTCCAAAAAAAAAAAAAAAAAATTATTTTTTCAGAAGTATCATTGGTATGGTAAGAGTGCTGTGTCTGTAGTCATAACTCCCAAAGCTTTAATTAAGTATTTAGACTGTACCAATCTTTGGCTAGTAAGCCCCTACACATTTTTCATTCATGAAGAAGGATGTGAGTTTGAATACTGCCAAGTCACCTCACCTCTCTGAGTGAGGAGAATGAACCCTAGCAGTTTCCTTCATCTGCACTACAGGAATGGATGATGGTATTGCTTATGTCAAAGATGCTATGACTATTATGTAAGCAAGAGTATGTATAAACATGCGGTGTCATAGGCGCATTGTCCTTTCTTTCTTTAGACCAGTGGCTCTCTATGCTCACTGAATATTTAGAATCACCAGGGGAGTTTTTTAAAAATACCAGTCTGCAGCCATGTTCCAGACCAATTAAAATAGACTTTCTAGGGAGGGGGACCCAGGCTTTTTCCTCCTTTCTTTTTCCCTTCCCCTTCTCCTTCCTCCCTCTCTCCCCGCCCCAGTACTAGGAATTGGATCCGGAGCAATCTACCACTGAACTACATCCCCAGTCCTTTTTATTTTTACTTTTGAGAAAGGGTCTTGCTAAGTTGTTGGCCTTGAACTTGTGATCATCCTGCTTCAGCTTGCCCACCCAGGCACCACCATGCTCAACTTCTTTTTTCCTTTTTTTGTTTTGTTTTGTTTCTTAGGGTGTTTTTTTGGCCTTAATGAATCTAATGTTCCTTACGCAGTGTGGCAATTACTAGCCATTCAGTACCACTCAGTACCTTCCATCAGGTACTAATTTTTTGGAGTTAAGAACTGTGACTACCCAGATTTGCTAGCGTAACAGTCATTTCTTACTTTCTTCCGCTCTAGGACTATTTCCCAGCACCTCAGTCTGCTGCCATGTCCGACCCCATTACATTGAATGTTGGGGGGAAGCTCTATACAACCTCACTGGCAACCCTGACCAGCTTCCCTGACTCCATGCTGGGGGCCATGTTCAGTGGAAAGATGCCCACCAAGAGGGACAGCCAGGGAAACTGCTTCATTGACCGTGACGGCAAAGTGTTCCGCTACATCCTCAACTTCCTGCGGACCTCCCACCTGGACCTCCCTGAGGACTTCCAGGAGATGGGCCTGCTCCGCAGGGAGGCTGACTTCTACCAGGTGCAGCCCCTGATTGAGGCCCTACAGGAGAAAGAGGTGGAGCTGTCCAAGGCAGAGAAGAATGCCATGCTGAACATCACGCTGAAGCAGCGCGTGCAGACGGTCCACTTCACTGTGCGGGAGGCCCCCCAGATCTACAGCCTGTCATCCTCCAGCATGGAGGTCTTCAATGCCAACATTTTCAGCACGTCTTGCCTCTTCCTCAAACTCCTTGGTTCCAAGCTCTTCTACTGCTCCAATGGCAATCTCTCCTCCATCACCAGCCACTTGCAGGACCCCAACCACCTGACTCTGGACTGGGTAGCCAATGTGGAGGGCCTGCCGGAAGAGGAGTACACCAAGCAGAACCTCAAGAGGCTCTGGGTGGTGCCTGCCAACAAGCAGATCAACAGCTTCCAGGTCTTTGTGGAGGAGGTGCTGAAAATTGCTCTGAGTGATGGCTTCTGCATTGATTCTTCTCACCCACATGCTCTGGATTTTATGAATAATAAGATTATTCGATTAATACGGTACAGATAAAAAGACCCCAGCAAATCTGGGGAGGGGGTTCCCAAGAAGCTCCGTGTCAGCCAAGCCTGGAGAGTCTCGCCAGTGGTGTGAGGCAGGGTACTATACTAACCGGTATTAATTGCATAGCAGCACTTGATTCCCCTTTGATGACGTCCATCTTTTGGAATCTGCACATCCTGAGCAGAACCACCCTTTTCTTGCCATTTTGAGCTAGAGATGGGCAGTGTATTATGACAAATGAAGAGTTAGCTGGTGTGTACAGAGGAGTCTACAGGAGGACTTTCTAGCTGGGTCAAGGAAGCAGCAGTTTCATCTCTGCTTCATCTCTGTGCACGTGCCTGTGCCTCATTTACCATCCATCAAAAGAGCCCCTGGAAGCAGAGGAAGTGGGACAAGAGCAAGGGGCTCCTTTCAATTTCCCAGGACATAAAGCACCCGCAGATCCCTCCACCCCTGCTCTTCCCTCTCTAGGATGTGACCAGGACCTTGGCCTTACTTGTCCAAGGGTGACCATACTTAGCTGGCTTAGGAGTGCAATGTATTCTCAGAGCTCTTTAGTGCCCCTTTTTCAGGGAAAGAGTTGAGCCTAGCCAAGAGAGCAGCCCGGCAGGATTCAGAAGTTGGGGATTTCTCTCTCACTGACGCTGAATCTAGGGATTTCTGGCTTCAGAAATGGGGTGCTGTCCCTGCAAAGGTATTAAAGTATCTGAAGCCAGTGTAATAAAGAGCACTTCGTAACCTAGCTGATACTTGACCTTTGCAGTTCTCTTCCCAAAAATTTGAGGTAGTACTGAAACAGTTCCATTTGAACAAATATATTACAAACTCTCAGGGCTGGAAAATAATCCGGTGGTCATTCAGCCATCCCCAGCCCCCAGGACACCCCAGCACATTTGGGGATGAGCACCTCTGCTTGAGTACCTCCTAGGGGTCTCCTATGCCTGTTTGCATACCTCTGGTAACAAGCAGCTCACTGTCCCCACTGCCGTGTTTGGATGGTGCTGACCGTTAGGAAGTGCTTCTTGGATGAAGCAAAAATTTGTCCTGCCATTTCTGTACGCTAGGTCTTGGTTTCATACCTTCCTTATCACCCAAGTGTGTATCTTTGCTTTCACAATAGTCACCTTGAGAGATCAGGCACTTTCTCTGAAAACTATGACTCAGAATTTGGATCTATATTTGGAGCCAAAGTGAGGTCCTTTCCATCCCATGTACGTCAGTCCCCTTTGCTTATGGTGTTACCTTGTTTGTGACCCCACCCCACTTCATCCACGTTCCGTGCCAGCCATGGTTCCGCATGCCTTTGGACCATTTTTGGTTGGGAGATGAAGATTCGCTGCCTGAGGAGATCTAGAGGAAAGAGGGCCTTGGAAGGCATTTTGCAGCCAGGAGCCCATGTGTCGTGTCTGAACTGTCATGCTGCCCTTGGAGTAAGCGCCCAGCCCCTAAGATACTTCTCAAGAAGGTGGCCTTTGCTTGTGGTGTTGTGTCTGTCCTAACCAGTCCATGGTGATGCAGGATAAGGAGCCCCAAGCCACTAGTTCCCAGTAGGTGATGAGCCTTGCAGGCCTCCAAACTGCACATTATGATTCATCTCTGGAGTGAATATGGCTTCCCCACTGGAGAGAGGCACTCAAACACACAGATATCCAGAAAGGTAGACCAAACAAGGGGCTCCCACAGTAACATTCATTGAGCAGGGAACCTATATGCTGGGCCATAGGCAAGGCTAGGTCTTTCAAGCAATACAGGCCTTTCCCTCCCTACAGTAGGACCCAGGAGTCTCTGTGACAGCTGCCCCAGGCCACCAGGTCAGTGATATTCTGGAAATCCCCTCCAAGAGAATCCAGTTCAGACTAAGAAGCTGTGACCTCAGCAAAAGAGTTAGAGGAAGAAATCTCATCAGTGACCACTGCCCTTTTTCCTCTCCATAAAACTTCCTTTTCTCCTTCTTTTTGGTGCATCCTAATTCAAGCAGCTTGATTTAGAGAAAGTACAGAACATGTGAAGCCACTAACATGCTGTGTGACTTTATGCAAGTCACTCCTCTCAATGAGCCACCTCCGTTTCTTCATCTGTGAAATGGACATAACAATAATACATTACCTACCTCACAGGGCTGTTGTGAGGATCAAATGAAATAATCTATGTGGAATAAATGATAACAGTTATTACTTGTGTCTGTTCAGAAGGAGGACAAAACCAAGTTCACCTTCCCTTTGGTTTGGTTTGTTCTTGTTTGTTTTGGTATCAGAAATCAAACTCAGGACCTCACACTTGCCAGGCAGGTGCTGTGCCACTGAGCTGTATCCCTGGCCCCTGGTTTGGTTTTTTGAGACAGGGTCTCACTGTTTAACTCTGGCTTGCCCTGAACTCATGATCCTTCTGCCTCAGCCTCCTGAGTGCTGGGACTTCAGACGTGTACCATCACACCTGGCTAAAACCCCAGTCTTGAATCAGACTGACTTAGGTTCGAATCCTGACTTGATCGCAAGCTGGGTAACCTTGGCCAAGAAGCTGAGCTTCTTCCTCACTGGGCAACAGCCCCTCGCCCCCAGGGCTATGCACCTTGACTAGCTTGTCCATGTGGCAATTCCAAGCTAGGCCTGCCTCACAGAGTTCAGTAACGATCTTTCAGGAGGTAGTTACGGGGAGAAGGATGCCAGGAGGGTACAGTTTAACAGAGAGTTACAGGCACTCGGTGTGTGCATCCAGAAGGTGGGTACAGCCTGAAAGAGGCTGAGAGCTTCACACACATGCTACAGGAACTCAGGGAAGGAGAGTTTTCTCAGAAAGGGCTGTATGGATGGTCCAGCAGGGCCCTTGAGGGCGGGTTGGATGTGATAGAGTAAGCAGGGAGGGCACTATGAACTCACCAAACAAAAGAAACGTGGCAGCCAGGCAGAGAGGGCGACTGAGGATGAGTGTGTGCTCACAGCCGCTGCACGGGGGAACAGCAAGGCAGGCGTTGTGTTCAGCCCAGTCTCATGCTCACATCCTTCTGAGGTGAGGTCAGCCATCTACTCAGCAAAAACGTGAGAGGGAACATAAGACACAGGTGGTACCGTCCCAGTGGGTAAGGGAGTCAGCGTGGGGAGCAGCAGGGCGTGCTGCTTGTGAGCTGCCCTCTCCCTGCATGGGACCCAATGGTGACTGCACCCAGACAAAGCTTGATATCACTGAGGTCTTTGTCCCAGCGAAAGCCAGCTAAAGGGGCAATTTCTGGCACATAGAGGCTGTCGGCTCTCTGTCCTGCAGCGGGTGTAGCCCCACACAGCAGAAGAATGGTCAGAGTGCTAGAGGGAGCTCTCACGGCACCGTGGTATGACCACCTCGTGAGGCCTGCCCCCGACAGGGTCCCTGCGTGCTTGAAGGCCGGGCACTGTGCTGTGATCTCAGGATCACCAAGGCCCTTTGCCCTTTTATAAAAAGCCAAGTCTCATGACCCTGTCCGACTTGGGGCCAGAGCTTGATAGGCAGGAGTGGCCATGTTCCCCTCTTGCCTACACCTCAGTGCCCAGCAGCCCGTGATGCAGCCACCTGGTTTTATAAAGCACTCTGTGGCCTAAATTACAGCATTTGTGTAACTGCCCGTTTGTTCATTCCAATCCCAGCCTCCTTTTACAAATTACTCCTAAAATTATCTGTTGCAGATGGGGCCTAGTGAAGGTCAGCCTGTGGGCAGAGCACCCGCCTGTCCCTTTCCTGGGCTGCAGGCTCTTCACGTTGACCAGCTGTGTCTGCTTGGATCCCGGGGGGCTCAGGGCCGATAGGGGTGGTTGGCTGGGAAACAAGGCCCTGTGATCATCTCCAGAACAAAACAACCTTGGAAATAGACGCATCAAAGGGCGGGCTGGGCTGGCTCCCAGGCCTGCAGGGTCCTGGCTTTGGCAGCTCTGTCTTCCCAGAACATCCAGTGCCCTCCGTTTCCTCCAGAACCTTGGGGCCAGTGTGGCACCAGCAGAGCTGAAGAGACAACCTGGAGACACATTTACCCGGTCTGGGATACAGAGACCAGAGGGCTGCTGAGGAGAAGTCTGGCTGATCCCAGAGGATCGCTGAGCACCCATAACACCCAGGATCCCACAAAAGATGGCGAAACATGCTTCCAAGTGAGGTTGCCTTTCTCTGACTCCTCTGAGCAGTGCCTCTCAGCCTGGTGTACCCAACCGTGCTGGGCCTCCACTTTGTACACAGTACACAGGGCATTGCAACGCCTCTGTCAACGTTTCCCAGTTAGGTGGCAGCCCTAGAGTGTTCCCGCCCATTCCTCTTCTTATGCCAGGCCTGTCCCCAAAGCCTAGGTTCCCTTTTACTGGGAATTGGGTAAAGGCCAGCTGAGCCCCATTTGAAATCCTCTAGGGATCAGGCCAGCTAAAAAACAAAGGGTGCTCTCTGCCCAACCCCAATTAGTTCACTTCATAAATCTTCTATTGGATTTGCTTAGCAAACACCCTTTGGTAACTTATAGGTCACGAAACTCCTTCATATGCATAGTTTCCTTTCATAGAACGTAGCACACACCATGCCATTTCACATGTCCCTTTCCTAGCTTGTCTTCCTAGCAAACATCTCATCCAGCACCACCCTGCATAAGCCTTGCCTTCATGGCTCCACCACGCAGGATCAGTCCCAGCCCCCTGCCCGATACCTCAGGAACACTTTATCACCCAACTGCAGTTGTTCACGGGCAGTGCGGTACTGGTAAATAGTCAACAACCAGCTCCCTGGGGGAAAAGCCCTGATCTGGAAAGAACAGATAGAGCTTGCTGCATAGAGCGGTGTTAAGGGCTTGATAATGTAATACTCTATAGCTTTTGGACAGTGTCTGGAGTACAGTAAGTACTAAGTGTGGGAAGTTATTATTATATTATGATGACTTTATGTCCTCATTGTTCGTTGCTGTTCTCCTTGCCTACTCCCTGTGTCTCCCTCGTGATCCATGGAGGTCTCTACCTTCTGAATATCACCCAAGCTACTCCCACCACTTGAAGTGTTCCACTGTCTCCTCTCCAGTGACTCACATCCTGTCCATCCGCAGTGGACAGTCTCCCTACCCATGACACACTCTCTCACTGAGCCCTTCCTCCTCCAGTCTTCCCTTGCCCCATCATTGGCATCTCCTTGGGTGTGAAAAGACAGATCTCATTACACATTCTGTGTATAGACTGAATGTTTGTGTCCTCCTAAAATTCATGTTGAATCCTAACCTTCAATGTGATGGTATTTGAAGGTGGTGCCTTTGGGAGGTGACTGGGTTGAGGGTGGAGCCCTCCCAAATGAGATTAGTGCCCTTATAAAAGAGAGATCAGAAGACTCCCTTACTATTTCCACCAGGTGGGATGCAATGACAAGATGCCCATTTATGACCCAAAAACCAGCAGCTATAACTTAAGTGCTGAGTGATCCCTGAAGTTCCATGTACTAAGGCTTGGCCCCCAGAGTGTGCCATCAGGAGGTGGTAGAACTTTTCAAAGATGGGGGCCTACCACTGCACCGAGTCAGGACCTGAACTGGGACTGTGGGGTTCCACTTTCTCCCCTTCTCTCTATGCTTCCTGGCTTAAGACACGAGCCTTTGCCCTAACATATGCTTCTGCAGTGTGCTACCCTCACCAGAGACCCAAACCAGTGGAGCCACCCAATCTTGGACCAGAACCATAAGCAAAAGTAAATCTTACTTCACTCTGTAAGTAGCCTATGACAGGAAGTTTGTTATAGTGGAATAGAAAGCTAATACACAGTTTCTCACCAGACAACAAATCTGCTAGTCCTCGGACTTATCACCCTCTAAAACTGTAAGAAATAAACTATTGTTTGAGGCTTAGGGGTGTAGCTCATTGGTACAGCACTTGCCTAGTATGTGCAAATTCTTGAGTTTGATTCCCAGTGACAAAAAAGAAAAAAGAATGTTTCAAACAATGGCTTTTTTCTTTTATTGATAAGATACTCAACTTATTGTATTTTGTTATAGCAGGAAGCATGCACTAAGAAAGTTATACACTCTGTGAAGCACCTGCCATTTGCCTGGCCCAGGGATGCCCTCTGGGAAGTCACAGGTGAACCTTGCACATTCCTCCCTTGGCAAGCTGGTACAGAAGAGAGACAGGTAAGCAAATTACAGTATGGTGCCCAGTGCTATGGTGGCTCTAGACAGAGTGGCTCACAAAGATAGGATGGCCAGCTGTAACCATAGCCCCTGAGTGTATGCAACACTTTACCGTTTACAAAGTACTCACTCCCTTTTCCTTACTAAGTCTCCTCAAGAGGGGAGTCACTCAGATGGCCGGCGTAACCCTCTACTAACTACTAACCCTCCCATGAGTGCAGTCAGAAAGCTTCTGTGAGGCTAAAGGTTGGTGCCCCCGGCCTCACAGAATGAGCTTTCTTTCCTAAATAAGGAAACTGAGATCTGAAGGTGAAATCACTTGTCTGTAGTCACCCTGCATGCAAGAGTCGCATTTGGCACATATGAGCATATAAGGATAGCACTTGGCTAATATCAAGTGGAATTTTTTTTTATTTATCAAGCGGAATTAAATGTCATTTAATTTAAATTAATTGGCCAAGTTGACCAAGGACCCATGCTGAAACCTCCTTTAAGATTATTTCCACGAGGCCAAGGACATAACCATGCCTCTTCTATGTGCCAGAACTCTGCCCCAGATGCCTGCACTTATGTTCGAGGTGACCTTGAGCAAATCTCTTCACTGTCTTGGAGCTGGCTGAAAGCTTCCTTGGCAAAATGTAGCACAGCTGAGTAGGGTTCGACCAGCTAGAGCCCTCTTCTAGGCAGAGCTGGGTAGAAGGGTGACCTTCCTACCTGCGAGAACATACTAATGAAGGCCAGAAATCCATGCCAGAGCTGTCATGGGAACACAGGACTGGCTCCTCCTTGTCTTCTACCACACGTTCATCTCGTGATAGAAAGCTGTGAACATGTTGCTTAGTGACAGAGCAGTCTTGTGATTTCTGTATTTTCCAGGGTGAAATGCTACACTGTATTAAATGCTCCTGGGATAAAGTGGCCAGGCAGAGTAGAGTTACTCGGACGGCAGGTCACACTAGCAACCCTCCCACGAGTGTAGTCACAAAGCTTTTGTGGGGCTGAAGGGTGGTGCGCTCCTTCGCAGAAGAGAAACCAGGGTAGACGAACTGAGTCCCCCCCGCCC